AAATGCTGATACCATGTGGCAGGTGAGATCATACATGCTGACACCATGTGGCAGGTGAGATCATACACGCTGACACCATGTGGCAGGTGAGATCATACACGCTGACACCATGTGGCAGGTGAGATTATGCACGCTGACACCATGTGGCAGGTGAGATCATACATGCTGACACCATGTGGCAGGTGAGATCATACACGCTGACACCATGTGGCAGGTGAGATCATACATGCTGACACCATGTGGCAGGTGAGATCATACACGCTGACACCATGTGGCAGGTGAGATCATACATGCTGACACCATGTGGCAGGTGAGATCATACATGCTGACACGATGTGGCAGGTGAGATCATACATGCTGACACCATGTGGCAGGTGAGATCATACACGCTGACACCATGTGGCAGGTGAGATCATACATGCTGACACCATGTGGCAGGTGAGATCATACATGCTGACGCCATGTGGCAGGTGAGATCATACATGCTGACGCCATGTGGCAGGTGAGATCATACATGCTGACACCATGTGGCAGGTGAGATCATACACGCTGACACCATGTGGCAGGTGAGATCATACATGCTGACACCATGTGGCAGGTGAGATCATACATGCTGACGCCATGTGGCAGGTGAGATCATACATGCTGACGCCATGTGGCAGGTGAGATCATACATGCTGACACCATGTGGCAGGTGAGATCATACACGCTGACACCATGTGGCAGGTGAGATCATACACGCTGATACCATGTGGCAGGTGAGATCATACATGCTGACACCATGTGGCAGGTGAGATCATACACGCTGACACCATGTGGCAGGTGAGATCATACATGCTGACACCATGTGGCAGGTGAGATCATACATGCTGACACCATGTGGCAGGTGAGATCATACATGCTGACGCCATGTGGCAGGTGAGATCATACATGCTGACCCATGTGGCAGGTGAGATCATACATGCTGACACCATGTGGCAGGTGAGTCATGCATGCTGACACCATGTGGCAGGTGAGATCATACACGCTGACACCATGTGGCAGGTGAGATCATACATGCTGACACCATGTGGCAGGTGAGATCATACATGCTGACACCATGTGGCAGGTGAGATCATACAGGCTGACACCATGTGGCAGGTGAGATCATACACGCTGACACCATGTGGCAGGTGAGATTATACACGCTGACACCATGTGGTAGGTGAGATCATAAATGCTGATACCATGTGGCAGGTGAGATCATACATGCTGACACCATGTGGCAGGTGAGATCATACACGCTGACACCATGTGGCAGGTGAGACCATACACGCTGACACCATGTGGCAGGTGAGATTATACACGCTGACACCATGTGGCAGGTGAGATCATACATGCTGACACCATGTGGCAGGTGAGATCATACACGCTGACACCATGTGGCAGGTGAGATCATACATGCTGACACCATGTGGCAGGTGAGATCATACACGCTGACACCATGTGGCAGGTGAGATCATACATGCTGACACCATGTGGCAGGTGAGATCATACATGCTGACACGATGTGGCAGGTGAGATCATACATGCTGACACCATGTGGCAGGTGAGATCATACATGCTGACACCATGTGGCAGGTGAGATCATACATGCTGACACCATGTGGCAGGTGAGATCATACATGCTGACGCCATGTGGCAGGTGAGATCATACATGCTGACAGCCATGTGGCAGGTGAGATCATACATGCTGACACCATTGTGGCAGGTGAGATCATACACGCTGACACCATGTGGCAGGTGAGATCATACATGCTGACACCATGTGGCAGGTGAGATCATACATGCTGACGCCATGTGGCAGGTGAGATCATACATGCTGACGCCATGTGGCAGGTGAGATCATACATGCTGACACCATGTGGCAGGTGAGATCATACACGCTGACACCATGTGGCAGGTGAGATACATTAACATCTGCTGACACCATGTGGCAGGTGAGATATATACACGCTGACACCATGTGGCAGGTGAGATCATACATGCTGACACCATGTGGCAGGTGAGATCATACATGCTGACACCATGTGGCAGGTGAGATCATACATGCTGACACCATGTGGCAGGTGAGATCATACACGCTGACACCATGTGGCAGGTGAGATCATACATGCTGACACCATGTGGCAGGTGAGATCATACATGCTGACACCATGTGGCAGGTGAGATCATACATGCTGACACCATGTGGCAGGTGAGATCATACACGCTGACACCATGTGGCAGGTGAGATCATACACGCTGACACCATGTGGCAGGTGAGATCATACATGCTGACACCATGTGGCAGGTGAGATCATACACGCTGACACCATGTGGCAGGTGAGATCATACATGCTGACACCATGTGGCAGGTGAGATCATACACGCTGACACCATGTGGCAGGTGAGATCATACATGCTGACACCATGTGGCAGGTGAGATCATACATGCTGACACCATGTGGCAGGTGAGATCATACATGCTGACACCATGTGGCAGGTGAGATCATACACGCTGACACCATGTGGCAGGTGAGATCATACATGCTGACACCATGTGGCAGGTGAGATCATACATGCTGACTGGCAGTGAGATCAAACGCTGACACCATGTGGCAGGTGAGATCATACATGCTGACACCATGTGGCAGGTGAGATTCATACATGCTGACACCATGTGGCAGGTGAGATCATACACGCTGACACCATGTGGCAGGTGAGATCATACACGCTGACACCATGTGGCAGGTGAGATTATACACGCTGACACCATGTGGCAGGTGAGATCATACATGCTGACACCATGTGGCAGGTGAGATCATACACGCTGACACCATGTGGCAGGTGAGATCATACATGCTGACACCATGTGGCAGGTGAGATCATACACGCTGACACCATGTGGCAGGTGAGATCATACATGCTGAACCATGTGGCAGGTGAGATCATACATGCTGACACCATGTGGCAGGTGAGATCATACATGCTGACACCATGTGGCAGGTGAGTATTTTTGTGTCATTACACGCTGACACCATGTGGCAGGTGAGATCATACATGCTGACACCATGTGGCAGGTGAGATCATACATGCTGACGCCATGTGGCAGGTGAGATCATACATGCTGACGCCATGTGGCAGGTGAGATCATACATGCTGACACCATGTGGCAGGTGAGATCATACACGCTGACACCATGTGGCAGGTGAGATCATACATGCTGACACCATGTGGCAGGTGAGATCATACATGCTGACGCCATGTGGCAGGTGAGATCATACATGCTGACGCCATGTGGCAGGTGAGATCATACATGCTGACACCATGTGGCAGGTGAGATCATACACGCTGACACCATGTGGCAGGTGAGATCATACACGCTGACACCATGTGGCAGGTGAGATTATACACGCTGACACCATGTGGTAGGTGAGATCATAAATGCTGATACCATGTGGCAGGTGAGATCATACATGCTGACACCATGTGGCAGGTGAGATCATACATGCTGACACCATGTGGCAGGTGAGATCATACACGCTGACACCATGTGGCAGGTGAGATCATACATGCTGACCCATTGCAGTGAATCAAACACATGTGGCAGGTGAGATCATACAGCTGACACCATGTGGCAGGTGAGATCATACACGCTGACACCATGTGGCAGGTGAGATCATACATGCTGACACCATGTGGCAGGTGAGATCATACACGCTGACACCATGTGGCAGGTGAGATCATACATGCTGACACCATGTGGCAGGTGAGATTATACACGCTGACACCATGTGGAGGTGAGATCATAATGCTGAACCATGTGGCAGGTGAGATCATACATGCTGACACCATGTGGTGTGGCAGGGTGAGATCATAACATGCTGACACCATGTGGCAGGTGAGGTCATACATGCTGACACCCATGTGGCAGGTGAGATCATACCACCGCTGACACCATGCTGGCAGGGGTGAGATCATTACATGCTGACACCATGTGGCAGGTGAGATCATACATGCTGACACCATGTGGCAGGTGAGATCATACACGCTGACACCATGTGGCAGGTGAGATCATACACGCTGACACCATGTGGCAGGTGAGATTATACACGCTGACACCATGTGGTAGGTGAGATCATAAATGCTGATACCATGTGGCAGGTGAGATTCATACATGCTGACACCATGTGGCAGGTGAGATCATACACGCTGACACCATGTGGCAGGTGAGATCATACACGCTGACACCATGTGGCAGGTTGAGATTATAACATGCTGATACCATGTGGCAGGTGACACCATGTGGCAGGTGAGATCATACCTGCTGACACCATGTGGCAGGTGACACCATGCATTAGGTGCGATGATGTGCCAGGTGGCAATGATGTGCCAGGTGGCGCATCGTAACATTGTTTTCCCAGTAGCAGCCCCTTTGTCCATCACAGGGCATCTGGTGTTGCCAGCCACATTCTAACATCCTCTGCAATTGTCCTCGTTTTGGTGCGTTTCAAATTTCTGGTCCACAGCCAGTCCCCCCCTGCCTGATCCCTTGCCAGTGTCCGCATGCATGCACATCTGCATCTTACTTTCCATCATCTCCTGCCCGTGCCTACGTGCCCGTAATGCCTGCCCGTGTATGCCTAGTCGCTCAACGAGCAGCTATCGAGTTTATGGCAAAGGTTGAAGGTTTGCCCACGGTGAAAGCTGGGGCATGCTGCACCCTCCCGTTCACTGCCCCGTACCCCCTCCCTCTCACTCCCTCACTCCTCTTGCCCTCAAGTTCGGCCAATTCCCCATCCTGCTCGTGGCTCAGGCGTGCGGCAGCCCTGACAAAGCCCTCTGAACACACCTGCACCGGCTCCACCTGCTTCCACCAGACAGACTGCCCCTTCCCACCGCTACTGGGAGCTGCAATCCGTGCCGCCGCTCTCACTGCCCGTCGTCCCCCCTACCACCCCCCCGCCCCTCCCCTCCAGCCCATGGCTCAGACGTGTGGCGGCCCCAATAAAGCCCTGTGGACGCATCTGCGGCGCCACCACCTGCTCCCGCCAGATGGGCTGCCTCTTTTCCACCGTGACTGGACGCTGCGCTCCGTGCCGCCGCTGTCAGATGCCGCCATGGCAGCGCTGCCGCCCGACTGGGTGGTGGTGCTGGGGAAGCGCCCCATGGCGAAGCGCGCGCTGGTGAACTGGGAGGGGCTCAGAGACGCGGTGTATGAGAGCTTTGAGCGGGAGAGGATCGTGCTGTTCCAGGGGGACCTGGCGATCATGGACGGTAGGGGCTTGTGGGCGTGATGGCATGGATAATGGATGTGCGTATGGGCATGTGGGTATAGGCATGTGGGTATGGGCATGTGGGTGTGGGCATGTGGGCATGGGCATGTGGGCATGGGCATGTGGGCATGAGCATGTGGGCATGAGCATGTGGGCATGAGCATGTGGGCATGAGCATGTGGGCATGGGCATGTGGGCATGAGCATGTGGGCATGGCACGTGGGCATGAGCATGTGGGCATGAGCATGTGGGCATGGGCACATGGGTATGAGCATGTGGGCATGGGCACGTGGGCATGAGCATGTGGGCATGAGCATGTGGGCATGGGCATGTGGGCATGAGCATGTGGGCATGAGCATGTGGGCATGGGCACGTGGGCATGAGCATGTGGGCATGGGCATGTGGGCATGAGCATGTGGGCATGAGCATGTGGGCATGAGCATGTGGGCATGAGCATGTGGGCATGAGCATGTGGGCATGAGCATGTGGGCATGGGCATGTGGGCATGAGCATGTGGGCATGGGCATATGGGCATGAGCATGTGGGCATGGGCATGTGGGCACGTGGGCATATCCATGATCGTCTGCGAGACAACATGGCTGAGCGACATTTCTCCATGACTCTTAAAGCCCCACTCTCATAATTCTAGGAAGTGAGCAAGTGTTAAATGTTTGGTACCCAGTTACGCTGGCGAATCTGAAGCGACAGGCTTGGAAATGCCTCGGACAGTGTGCTGTGCTAGGGGGGGGATACCAACCGTAAAACCAGTTCAGCAATATGAGAATCCGCAAGTTTACGGAAGAACGGTCCTGCTGCACCGTTAGATCATCGAGAGCCTTTGATCTGACGGTTGAGTGACTGGGCGTTTGAATCGACAGCTATAAACGAAGTAGAAAGTTGTTGCGCAAAAAATTGGAGTTTGCACCGTCCGATGTGCTAAACCTGACGCGTCCCAAACTTCCCCAAACCTGTTTCTTGGTTTGGAGTTTTTTGTCGAAACAAAACGGCCTCGCCACGTGAGTTTCGTCTTCGTAGTTGTGTTTACACCTCGCGTACCAATCAGTGCCTGTCTGTCTCAACCAAGTGTTAAACTCTGGTAATTATGAGATGGGGGCTTTAAGATAACCATCCTCATTCCACCTTTTCCTATTGAAGCCCTCATGCTTCTCCTCGATGTCTCCCAATGCTTATGCTGCATATCCCAAGTATCTCCATTGCCTTCCTCTCTTCTGCTCCTCCGTGCACGCCTGTTTGTGCTCTCCTCCCCCTCCCTACCCCAACCACCCCCCCCCCCCCCCCCCCCCCCCCCCGCTCTTGCCTGCCTACCCACCACCTGGAGCTCTCTTTCGCCGTGCGCACCTGTTTGTGTTGGTCTCACTTTCGCCTCTGCTCCTTTCCTCTGAAACCCCCCGTGCTCTGCTCCTTTCCTCTGAAACCCCCCGTGCTCTGCTCCTTTCCTCTGCTCCTTTCAGCTCGTGCTCTCTTCCGGCGAGCGCGCCTGTTTGTGTCGGGCCATGGAGCGGCCTTCGCCAATGTCATCTTCATGCCGCTCAACTCCTCCATCTATGAGATCCGCCCCAAAGGTTGCTACAACGCGTGTTACAATAACCTTGCATATGCATGTTCCGTGCATTACTACCTCTCGTTTGGAGAGGGCACGTGCTATTCTTCTTTGCGGGCCAACTTGACGCATGTGAGGGAATCTCTTCCCGTTATAGCTCAAAGATTCAGAGATGAGGATGCTGGTCTTGCGGAACAATAAAGAGATACAGTAATGTGATGTGCCTGAGTAATATGATAGCATCCTATGTTGTAGTTCACTCGCCAAATCCTAGGGTAAAAGAGGCAGGGAGGGACTTACCGTATGACATAGAGTGCCGTATGACAGAGTGTGGGGTATGGACAGCCAGTTAACTATTGTGCCTTCCAGACAGAAAAGAGATGCTGTAACACAAACAGGGGGACAATGGGGGCAGGGAGGCTAGGACAGCACCAAGTAGCATCTAACACACTCCATCCGGGCATTTTCTTCTGACCCCATCCGGGAAAACAGAATCTTCAAGTGAGCCGAGGTTGTCACAGCCGCTAACAACAGTGTTGAAAGGAGTTCCTAGAAGCAAGCTAGGCATGAGAAATGTCGAGAGGTTTTAGCTAGGGAGAAAAGTTACGAGAGAAAAGAGAGAGGGCTAACTAGACAAGAAAGAGAGGTACAAGAAGGGTGTTGTACCCTCTACAGTAGGATCCACAATTATAGCACACCTACCAAGCCTACACAAATATATATATAATATATATATATAATTTGACACACCCCCAAGGCTTGGTAGGCGCTAGCATACCACACACGCAACACCCCCAAACCCTTGCACCCCAATGTCCTGCAGCAGCTGTGGCGTCTACCAGTGGGTCGACCCCTCGGCAATCAAGGCGGCAACGTCAGCGGTGGGTCGCAGCGACAGCGGCGGCAGGGCCTGCAGCACCTGCGGCGACGGCGGCGGCGCCCGAGGCACCGGCGGCGTGGCACACACTGTGACGACGGGGGGGAGGACGGCACGAGACCGCCAGCAGCTGCGGCGGGGAGGAGGGGGAAATGCAGAGGAGGGGGGTGAGTCTTCAGCGAGGCGCCGTGGCTGGTGCGGCGCTGGCTGGCGTGCGGGCGAGCTGGCCGGCGCTAAAACCGTGCGATGGCCATGGCCGTCCGTGCGCTGGCGCATCGAAGCCGCCGCCTCAGCACGACGACGCCACGGCAGCACGACGAGGCCACCGCGGCAGCACGGCGAGGCCGCCACGGCTGCTCAACGAGGCCGTCATGCGTCGAGGCCGCCATGGCAGCAGGACGTAGCCGCCATGGCAGCGCGTCGAAGTCGCCGCGGCAGCGCGGCGAGGCCGCCACGGCTGCTCGACGAGGTCGCCGCGGCAGTGCCGCGAGGCCGCCACGGCGGCGCGAATGTGACGGGAGGGGAAAGAGTACGATGCGGAAGCGTGATGACAAGGCGCAGCAGGATCGTCCTGCTCTGAAACCATGTTGAAAGGAGTTAAGCCTAGAAGCTAGCTAGGCATGAGAAATGTCGAGAGGTTTTAGCTAGGGAGAAAAGTTACTAGAGAAAAGAGAGAGGATTGACTATACAAGAGAGAGAGGTACAAGAAGGGTGTTGTACCCTCTACAGTGGGATCCACAATTATAGCACACCGACCAAGCCTACACAAATATATATATAAAATATATAATTTGACTGTGCTAAAAGGGCTTGTTAAGTAGCGGGTCAGCGCGCCCATAGCCCCCCAGGCATAGAGGCCTGTGGCCCTTCCCAGGATCTCTAGGTCAATCCCAGTGTGTCACACAGGTGTGCTGTTTTAGCCTGTTGTTTTAGAAACACCAACTCCAGAAAAAACACCAAGGGGTGCTCAAGTTTTGGGGGGTTTTCAACCTAAGGGGTTCATAATGCACCGAGCAGCTAGGCATCTCATATTCTCCCTTCCGCTGTTTGATGGTTGAGATCTACCTACATCCTCAGCAGTCATGATGAAGAGAACAATGTCTTCTGCAAGATCATGGGCACGCCTCAAACGTTGAATGATTCATAATTCACTTCACCTGGAACCATGATAGAGAAGCCCGCCATGTGCTCTCGCAGGTGCTGGAACGTGCACTCCTCTCATGACCCGAGAAGCTAGCCGGTGTTCAACTCTCGGGAACCAAGTGCTGCTCCACCAGGGCAAGGTCCTCCTCCGTGCCCCTTCCAGATTGCTGTCTCTCCATCTTCTCATCAACCCTTGCTGCAGATCTTGCCCTCTCATCCCCCCTCCCACCTCCACCCTGAGCGCCTCCAAGTCTTGGGCCACTCGGGCCATGGAGGGGCGGGAGGCAGTGGGCATGGCAGTGCAGCTCACAGCCAGCTGGGCAATGCGCTTGATGGTGTCATCAGGTGCTGCCATGCGGGTCTGTAAGAAGTGATGTCTTCCCATAAGCCATGAGATGAAGGTAATTGATAGAGACGCCTGTTACAGGGGCCAGAAAAGAAAGCACACATGGTGGGCACAAGTGGCGGTAAGAACAACGAGGGTGATAGAGACAGATGGTCACGAGCATTAGAGAGGTACCCACCCATTTGGAAATAGAAGTTGGTTCTTGGTTGCCAGAGTCGTCCGGCTCACTGCCCACGTCTACCCAGTGAGGGTGGCTGCTCGGCCTGACAGCACCACCAGCATGAGGATTCCGAAGCTGGAAGAAAATACACATGGGGTGCACTTGAAATGCTTGGGAAGCATGGGGGAGCTTGTATAGCCAAGCTTGATTTCAATGGGAGATGAAAGAATGGCATGGAGGCAGGTGACAACATCTGATCAGTAGAGTTGGAGTTGATGGCTGCAATGGTTGATGCTGGATCACACATGTCACTGTAGTCCATCTCTTGGTACGCCGTGTTCATGTCAAGTTGCTTATGGGTTTCAGCTATTGTGTCATGCATTTGTGTGCACTTCAAGTTAAGTTTCATGTGTACACACCGCATTTCACTGGCTCAGATTCAACCTCAGTCATCTTTCATATCCAACCCATGCAATTCCATGTCAAATCCGAACAGACACCTGTGGGCACCACCCAGACAGGCCACCTTAACAGCTACACCTGAGAGAGAGCTGGCACAAGTGCATCAGAGCATCAATACACAACAGCAATGCTGGTGGCGTTGTGTACCCTGGTGTTCGATTTCGAGTTGACTCGAAAGTTGACAAGAAGCTGGCTCAAATCCACACCTGTAAACATCAGCAGCAGTGGTGGTGTTGCGAGTCCTTGCATACGCAGGGTCCACATAGGCCACCATTCCAAGCACTCGCGTGGAGCCCATTGCAGTGCCCTCCCCCATGCGCACCATTCGGAAGTCTGCCACCTTGGACTAAAGAGGGAGGGAGGGCAGTGACATGCAAGGGAATAAGCGAGAGAGAATTCGGATTACATGGCTTCACCATATGCCTCATGAAGCACAGGAGAACGCCATGCCAACGTCCGTGCCATCAATGATAGTACTAATGGCATCATTGTGCCAAGACGGGTGTAGGCTCGAGCGAGCTACCCAGCTTGAAACACGTGCCGAGGCAGGTGTAGGCTCGAGCCGAGCCTGGGGATTCATGAGTCCGCCCGGCTCGCTAGGGTTTAGGGGAGCGTTTTGCCCACCAGATTGTGCGGATCCGGCATTTCGACCACCAGATTCGAATTATTCGAGCCCGTCAAAGCGAGGATCTTGAAACCCCCCGAACTCAAACCTAAGGTTTTGATCCCCAGCCAAAATGCCCCGGGATCAAAACCTAAGTTTTTGAGTTCGGGGGTTTCGAGATCCTCGCTTTAAGCCTGGCGGTCAAAATGCCATAATGATTCGCGAATCCCGCCCCAATGAGCAGCCATGCAGAATGATTCGAGCCCGTTAAAGTCGCTGACCCAAATTGCAGAAATTCTGTTCCAAGTTTAATAATTTTGAACCCCCTGATTGGTAACCAAGTTCCCCAAATAGAGAGGCAAAAACTAAAGTCACGCAACAGAAAGACGGGAAACATTTGATAATCTTGCGCCACCCCTGGCCGATTCTGCCCCTGCCCGCGTCACACCAAGGCGTTTGAGCGGAAAGAAACTTGAAACATCCCCCCATACATTTTGGGACTTTCGAAGTGCGAACCCAGCCCAGCGCCACTGCGCCCTAGGCACCAGACGATTTTTTAGGGCGTGGTACATCTCGAATCAAGGGAGGTACGCAACCCAGAGTTACGTGTCTTTCCTTCCCGCTGCTTTTGGTATTTCCCTCTGTCTACCACGCCCCTTTTTTACCTTTTCCGCCCACCCCTCCCCTTCTGTCCCTTTTTATTGGCGGTGCTTTTGCTTGTTTGATTTCTGGCTGCCCTGATTGGTTTATGTTGTTTCGTCAAAAGTGTACTTGTCGCAATTTGGTGTTGCATCGTTCGCTCGTTGGCGAAGTACACTTGACACCTCGCACCACAGCAAAACGCCCCTGCTCACTACCTGACCCCAGTTTTTGCCTGATCGTGATTAATAATCTTGCACGTGTTGGGCCACCGGCTTTAAGACTGGCCTAGCTCGTCGCCATGCTGGCGGCTGTTTAGCTGGCTAGCTGGCTGGCGGGAGCGGCTGGCTGGCTGGCGAGCTGGCTGGCGGCTTGCTGGCGGGAGTGGCTGGCTGGCAGGCGGCGGTTGGCTGGCTGGCGAGCTGGCTGGCGGCTGGCTAGCTGGCTGCCGGCTGCCTGGCTGGCTGGCGAGCTGACTGGTGACTGGCTGGTGGCTGGTTAGCTGGCTGGTGGCTGGCTGGCTGGCTAGCTGGCTGTCTGGCGGCAGCTGGCTGGCTGGCGAGCTGGCAGTGGCCAGCACGCTGCTGGCGGCGGCGAGCTGGGCGGGGGCTGCTGGCAGCAAGCTGGCACTGGCCAGCGTGCTGCTGACGGCGCGAGCTGGCGGCAGCGCGCTGCTGGTGGCTGTGGCGGCTGCGGGCGAGCTGCTAGCAAGCGCTGGCGGGTGGCAAGCGGGCGGCGAGCTGGCAGCGGCTAGCGTGCTGCTGGCTAGCGCGCTGCTGGCGGCGGCTCGCACGCTGCTGGCTGCGGCGAGCTGGCGGCGAGTGGCTAGCGAGCTGCTGACGCACATACGACAAAGCACCTGGGCATCGCTACAATCATGCACAACAGACTGGCCGACACGCAGCTGCACATGCAGCCGAACAATGCCTCATCGATCGAACAATGCCGGTATTGATCTGTCAAATCGCAAATTTACATGCTTCTTTTTGGTGCAATGTGTTTAGCTGGTTCCCATGGTTTTCTTTTGCCCTACAAACATGAGTGATTTCGTGTTTAGGATGGACACACGAGCCCTGTTTTGTAGTATGTATTAGACAAACACAAGC